CCATAGTATCCAAAGTGGCAAAAGTACTGCTTACCGGTATCATCAAAGTGAGTGGTCGCGAATCGAACGAAGCACACGATGTGCAAAATGCTGGGCTCTCCGCACTCGCACAATTAGCGCGCACCTGTCCGGAGGTCATAAATCAGGATTTGAAAGTGGTGCTTGCATTTTTCAATCATTTAGCCAATGCATCAGCTGATCTACAATCATCCATACGTGATGCTTTGGTCGCCATGGCRCCAGCATTTGCTTGGAAGTCACAAAAGTCTGCCGAACAGGCGGAAAATCTCGAGGAGAATGTACAACTAAGTGGACAACAACATTTGTTATTGGCTATGCTCTCGGATAATGTTGAATCGAAGCAGCAAATCGTGCAGAATGCCACAAGCGTATTTCTCACCACTTGCTATCCCGAATATTATGCGCCTGCGCGTCTCTTATTGCTGCTAATTGCAGGCGAGCGGTATGCTGCACACTTTTATGCAAACATATCTTTATATGTTATTTATATATAATACATATATTTTATATCCAGTAATCACTTGCACGACACCGTCACCACTTACCTGTATGGCGTTTCAAAGAAAGATCATGTTGACTACAACCTAATCTACTCTGTGGAATATGTGGAGCAACCAAAAGACGATTTCAATCAATTATCAACTGAACGGCGTCCGATTGTGTTGCCCAGCTTTAAAAGCATCATGCAACATGTTAGTCAAATGGCTGAAAGACGTTTGTTGAAGAATTATGGTTGCGAGACAATTAGTAATGTGAAATTGGCATTCAGTCAAACTGTTTACGAAGAGGTAAGTAATAAGTCGTAGTTTTTTTATTCAATTAATTCAATAGCAATAATTGTTTTGTGCTTATAGATATTGGATTACTTGCGYATCTGCCTCTGGTACTCGGCTGGCGCACGCGCATCGCCTGGCGATGAGAAGGCGGCAGCCAAATTGAAGTCGTATATAGCCGAAAATTATGAGGAAAGCGAACAAAATGAGCTGCATCAATATGTGCTATTCGTTAAGCGTTATGTGGAGGCCAAACGAAGTGAGTAGCGTTGAGTAAGCGACCATCTCTCCGACCTTTCTCGTTTCTTCGCTGCACGGAACTTTACACTCTGCCCCACTAAAGCCACAGCGACCATATTCACAAACTGTACGCAGGAGTACAGACTCAACCGTAATATTGCAGTTGATGGCGTTAAGATTCCGACTGTCATTAACCCCTTAGTTGTAACTTTTGACAGACTGTGCTCCTGCATTCAAGCCGTAACAAAATCCTCAAGTCGCTAGCCGGCAGCACAAGGRGAAAGAATAAAGAAACGTTGTTGGCAACATGCAAGGTAATCGGGCGGCCGGTCCTTAACTACCCTGCACCARTATGCTCTCAGTAACGGAGAACCTTTGTAGAATTGACTGTAACATATCAARTATATGTCCAGCGTGCAATGAGTCCTCGCAGGACACTGGCCATCTYTTTGCATGCCATKATAACCCAACRMGTCTGACCTCCTTTTTCCTTTTGTGCTTGATTTTGACGGTCAGTTTGTATGGCAGCTATTTGCGATAGTGSTCCSATCTSRATAATTTKTTCGTAKATTGTAGGATTGYTTGTAACTGTAATTCCGACCAATAATTTTTTTTTTTGTGAGAACAGAACATGTGCAAAATTTCRGATCAATATCACATAAACTGAGAGACTAGTTCGTGTATTTACTTACAGACGATCACCGCAAAATCGACTTGGCTCRTCACACTGCTCATTTATGTACTTATCCGTCGTTTTCTTGTTGACAAACTGCATAAAATTACTGAAAATCACTAAAATTTAATTTACGTTTTTAAAAAACTTTGATTCATTCAAATATATTTCCATAGCCGAGGTGAACTTGCTCTGCCTTTATGATTTACTAAATGTTGCGCCCGAGCTGCTGACCCAATCGCACATGCATCTGCTTACACCACTATCGAATTCTTTAAAGGATGTCTCGGAGACAATGCGTGCGCATGTGGCTCAGGTCTATGGCATACTCTTGGCCCATGGCTGCAAGGACAAGGAGTTTGATGCACAAGTAAATAAAGAAAAAAATATTTTTTATTAATATTTCTTATAAATTCTATTGATTTTAGATTAGCGAATGTCTCAGAGAGTTGCCACAAAAGTCGCTAGAAAATAAGCATGGTTGGATGCTGGTCTTGGGTCACTCCTTCAGTCGTAAACTCGCGTTGTTAAAGGGCACATCGGCCAAGCAACTGCATGAATGGGATGTTTTCGTTAATACAGTGAAAGTTATAGGTAAAAAAAAAAAAATACAAATATGAGAATATATATATGAAATGTAAACATTTAATACCATACAATTTTTACAGTTAAAATGATGCACGAATCACAGTGGCTSTTAGTTGCCGCTGCCGTCAAATGTATTTCGATGATCGGCAAAATGGCCATCATACCAAATGTCGAAGTGGAAATACTAGTGCCCGTCGCTGCCGACAAAAACGACGATGACGACAACATTGAATACGAGAGTAGGYTACGATACTCGCTCTAAGCTTCAAGTCTCACTTTTTTAATATAATTTTCCATTTTTCCGTTTAACAGCCGCTAAAGCCTCGACAAAGCTGCTGATTTATCATGACATTTACACACTGTTGCGCAATGTTTCAGTGCGCGCACGCGTACGTGAGGATGCTGCGCGTTGTCTCGGCTATTTGGCCATTGGCGATGGTGAATTCTTTACACAACGCAATTTGGATAAGTTTTTGGCAATTATAAAGACACAAAAGGATGTTGCTTTGAATATTGCCATTTCGGAAGCAATGGTGACCACATTGAACGGTTATGATATAAACGCTAGCGATGATTTCGCTAACAAACATAAGAGTAATCCGTATTGTAATGATGAAATGTTTGAGAAATTTATGATGTCGCTGGTGCGTTTGGTGCCAGAGCCAAATGTGCATTCGAGACAGGTGAGTTAGGTGCTTTGTTTATAGTTATACCATACATATATTTATTTTTGTGATAWGTTGTGTATATAATTTAATATTGTCTTTTAGACAAGTGGTAAGATACTTTCAAGYAGTAGTAAATCGAAATAAATGGCTAACTCATCACTTGTGGTAAAAAACGATTAAAAACATAATTCACCAGCCGTGGTGAAAAAGTGTAACTCACCACGTGGTGGAAATCTATAAATATTATGCTTACACTTGTAGTATGAAAAATATAATTCACCACGCGTGGTGAAAAACAATAAATTRACACGAGTTCACAGCGCGTGGTAAAAAATACAAACATCTGAATCACCACTCTGGTGAAAAAACTGTAAAGTAAATCTAATTTACCACTCGTGTTGAAAATAATGTAAAACATCCAATTCACCAAGCGTGAAAATTAAGAAWTCTAACTCATTTCTGGTGGTAAAAAGCTTTAAAAAAGTTTGGTTTGTGACGACTGTTTGCCGATCTTGCCGAATATTTGGAACTGGGCGCTGAAA